CTCCTTCATTTTATCTTGCAATTCCACTCCTGACTTTGTTCCTAAGAGAGTAAGGTTTTGTGCAAGTCATTGGGCCAACAGTCATTAAATACAATGATGAAAAGTTTAAAAACTGTGTCCTTACAAGAAGATCTAGAATCAGTGAGACACAGTATAGCCCTGTGGCTGAGACATTGTTTAGCCATTGAAAATGACGTTGGTGAATCCTTAATAAGTTGGGAAGATACTTACCATGAGTGAAATTTGTGGAGGTGGTGGGTCTATAAAATGAAATAGCCTCATTCAGATCATCCAAATGATATATTTTTTGCAAACAAAAAAAATGTATGGGTTTAGATGCTTAAACATGGGTTGGCATTTAATTAGTATGTGGGATTTTAAGCAATTGTAATAGTATCAAGTCCATTTATCCTTCTATTTTAGTATTTTTCTTATAAATACTTCTAAAATATGAGAAAAGAGTCTTTTCAATTAAGAAAGTCAGATATACTTAACAACTTAGCTTCAGTGGTTCATCATGCTCAGGGACATTGATACTACAGGAGTATTTGGTTTGAGATCTGAGGTAGTGCCTCTTCTGAGATGTATGTGCAATTCTTTGTTCCAATTCAAGCTATAGGCCCTCAGAGACCAGTTCTCTTTTCTTTGTGACTCACACCCTCTGCCTGGCATTATTCCCAGTCTGAGAGGGAGCAGCTGATCCTGAGGCTGCATAGTTTAGCAGAAGCACCATCAATTCCCTGTCTTTCCAGTGACAGCACTACCTGCCAGAATCCCTGAAGATTCTACAGGTGGCCTGGTAGGTGTGGCTGGGACTCTCACTCAGCTTTTGTTCAAAAGTCCAACCTCATTGTTCAGAAAACTCTTTGGCTCATTTACAGAAAAGATATTTCTTATACTTTGTAATTTCTAAGGGAATGGGCATTACCTGATTAAGAAGATTAGAAGGCAGTCTCAAATCCTGTCTTGGGCTAATCTATGGGTTATCGCGGCTGAATTAGGAGGAGAAAAGGTGAAAACCCAGACTCCAGTGAACACCCAGAGCCCCAGGGTTTCCAACTCAGTCCTGGGCCCTCTCTGGGGCTCTGATGTTTGAACATGACCCGTAAAAGTGTGGGCTTGAGATGTGGGGCTCATGAGCAGTTAAGGTCCCTGTTAGATCACATGCAATATCCTTCTTGTCTCAGGCTGGACTCGAGTCATGCAGCAAGTATCAAACTAAAGGAGCAGGGAGAGCCTGCAGGAATACTGTAGAATTCAAGTTTACCAGTCAGTGTTCTCTATACTAAGCCAGATGAGCAGTTTAGCTCCCAGCTTTGTGCTTCAGGAATATATAGAAGGCTCATTTTCCCTGAGAGTCATGAAACAGGCAATTCCCCATGCACACAGATGATGATAATAGTCAGTGTGATTTTGCCACGTTGGAGGGCAGGTCAAAGGGAAGCCAAACTCGGGTCCATTTTCCTGCTGTTGAAACAGCCCAGGCAGGTGCAGGGCCAGCAGCAACCTGTTGGGGAGAAATCAGTGATAAGTACAGTGGGGCCTTCTTCAAAGATCTCAGAGGTATTATTCTCAGTCTGAGGACAGTAGAGTTAGACTGTAAAAAAGTAATTTAAATTTTTTTTCCATTGGGTATTTATGTTCAATAATAATTTGACAACTCTTTATATAGTGATTTTTTGAATACTATATATTATGTAGAGGACTTTTAAATGGTTGAAATTGAAGATAAATATATACCATTCTAAAGTATATTTTTTAAAAAATTTTTATATGTACCGCTGATGGGAGCACCCAAAGCATATATTTACACTGTAAAGTTTATCTTGCAAAAAACCAAGGGGACAATGTTGCATTTATTTGTTAATCAGAGACAGTAGAATGAATACAGGGATGTTCAAAAACTGTTTTTTGCCCTGTACCTTTCAGAGTACATGCTTTTTTAGTTTTCAGGCTGGTGTCATTTGAACTCTGCCTGATCTGAGCTTGTTTCTTGATGTGGGGGCCTTTTTGGAATCACTCCAGCATTCTCTGTGATTTCCTGTTTGGAGATAAATCTGCCAAACTTGGAAGAATGAAAACCATGTTGATAAATTGTTCTTTTCTAGAGACTGTGCTACATCACAGACTGAAAATCAGGGATTGAACTAACAGATAAAGCCTTGTGATATGGTTGTGTGGCCTCTTGGTCCTGACTTCAGCTTCAAAGGGAGGTGGGTCTGGGCCACAGGAGCACTTCATCCCTAAGTCATGGTTTGAGTCCCTCTCCTGTCCAGGTCCTGGGGAGCACATTCCATACATAACACAAACCACACCTACCACAAATGATTGGGGTTGGTCTGTGAGCCTCTTACATGCACTGAGGTTTGCTTCTAGGGAGAGGTCTAACTCCCAGTGCATACTAATAAGGGTTTTTGTAAAGTCATAAAAGAAAAAAAACAAGATAGCGTGAAACACAATGTACACGAATTTTGTAAATAAACCAATATAAAATAAAAATATTTTTTAAACTCAATGAAGCAAAACAAAACAAAACCCAAACAAAAAAAATGACGAAACAGTAATAATGTGATCAGACACTAATTCATTACAATGAGTTATACTAATTAAACTGTAACGGTTGCTATAAGAGGGAGCTCCAATGGCCGAGTAAGCTGTGCTGTCACCCTGAAAGCAGGCTGTTGAATCCACTGGCTGCTCCAAGGAAGGAGAATGGGCAAATTCTTCTGATGCAAATAACAACATCTGAATATCCACTGGAGGGTCAGCCAAGAGTTAATGTTATAAAAAAATATTTAGCTTTCCTACAAAGATGGCACCAGAAGTGAAGAAGGAAGCCCTTGTCCCTCCCAAAACTGAAGTCAAAGCAAAGGCATTAAAGGCCGAGAAGGCAGTTCTGAAGGGCATCCACAGCCACCAAAAGAAAAAAAAAAGATTTACACGTCACCCACCTTTCAGCAGCCTAAGATGTTGAGACTCCAAAGGCAGTCCAAATACCCCCGGAAGAGTGCCCCCAGGAGAAACAAGCTTGACCACTATGCCATCATCAAATTTCCCCTGACCACTGAGTCAGCCATGAAGAAGATAGAAGATGACAACACACTTGTCTTCATTATGGATGTCAAGACCAACAAACACCAAATAAAACAAGCTGTAAAGAAGCTCTATGACATTGATGTGGCTAAGGTCAACACTCTGATTAGGCCTGATGGAGAGAAGAAAGCCTATGTTCAACTTGCTCCTAACTATGATGCTTTCTATGTTGCCAACAAAATTGGGATCATCTAAACTGAGTCCAGCTGGCTAACTCTAAATACAAATTTTTCTCATCAAAAAAAAAAAAATGTTTAGGCATGACTGAAAACCCTACGTAGTTTGTTAACTTTCACTGAAATTGCAATAAAAGAACAGTACTTATTATTTATCAATAATATTCTTTTTAAAATCACATGTTGTTGTATACCATCGAGTCAGAACCGACTCATAACTGACCCTTTGGTGGGTTTTCAGAGGCAGTTAATCACATGGGAGGGGATTGCCCATCCTTATCCTGTGGAGTAGCTGGTGGGATTTGAGTTGGTAATAAGCTATAGAAAGAGAGCTATGAATAAGAGAATGTGTGTTCAAAAATGTCCAAAACAAGTCTGGTGGTGTGTTTAAAAAGTCACAGCCTTGAAAATGGCACAGAAAAACTTCTACTCTGCATGCATGGGGTCACCATGAGTTAAAGTTAATAGGAATAATAAATTATGAAGTCTTACCTTACCCAGGTGACCCAGCACACTCAGGAGCTGAGAACAGAGACTAGGAGACCAGCTGCACCATTTTGCTCTGCTTGCTCCCTCTGCTCTCCATTCAGGTGTAGTAGCCCCATTGGCTCTGGAGACAAACAATATGGAAATCCATCCAGAGAAATTTGAAGTGTTCAAGATTTGCAGGGAATTGAGTTCTAATACCTGATAGCCTTTCCTCTTGTTCCCCTAAAATGTATTTGACCTTGTCCTCAGGGAAGATAACACCCTCACTTTCTTCTGCCTCTCACCTCACTTCTCCCCTACCTTGCTAATCTCCTCTCAATACTGTATTGATTTTGTCACTTGTCTCTGCTTTCCCTTCTCATACAAGGGGAAAGATGGCAGGACTTAAGGACTAGATCTAAGAGCAGAAACTCAGTATCTTCCCTGTTCTTGAGCCCTGATTCAGACCCTAACAGAGTGAGGGGGATTCCCGATTAAGGCCCCAACTCCATGTTCTCCTAGTCCTAGATGGGAATGACATGTCGTTCCTTCTCTCTGTGAATCCTCTATCTTCCTCACCTGCAGATGTTCATATATAAACATGAGTGCTCATCCCTGGTGCACTGGCCTGGTCAACTCCAAGCACCAACCTCCACACAAAGCTCAATGCCTTTCCAGCCCTGCCCACCACACCCTGAGCCAGCAGCTCCTCTCTGGAAGATTCAGGGTGGCCAATGGCCCATCTATGAAAACATGGCCACCACAGAGTGGGTATTTGTCCTGACCTTACGGCACTCCTTACTCACAGGGACCTCATCTTCCATTAACCTTCTGTACCCACCAGGCTCTCAAACTATACATGAGCCTCCCTTGCTGCTGAAAGTTTCAACATCTTAATGCAGATGTGGCTCACAATTTGTCCAAATATCTCAAGTTTCATCTCATGTTGCTTTCTCCATGTCTACCCATGAAGAAAGACAGAGGACAAAACTCCACTTCCTGACAGAGAACCTCCTACTCCCACCCATGTGCAGTTTGCTCACCTGGGTTTTCCACATGTGTGAATTTCTTGCAAAGGGCAAATGCAACAACAACGGAAAGAGCTCCAACAACACCACAAGCAATAATAATACCATTGTTCTGCCAATTCTCTGAACATCCTGGACACTTTCCTAAAAAAGAAACTTATTATACACTGGGACCCTCAAGTCTTTTATTTCCTTCCCCATACTCCCTAACTCCCAGGATCAGAGCCCTCCAGGATTACCCGTGCTCACCTAAGGTCACTGGGTAGGTACTTTTCTTCCCATTGTGTTCCACACGGCAGCTGTACATATGTTCCTTTCCTTGGGGAACCTTTATGGACACCCAGGTCTCATAGGTTCCATTTGCATGAGGCAGGACACACCCACGGAACTGGGAGTCTTGGCTGCTCAGAGGGTCCCCATCTTGTAACCAGATCAGTGAGATATTCCGGGGATAGAAACCAGAAGCCCAGCACGTCAGGGTGACATTTTCCTCCGTGGGGTCACTGTGGTTCACATTCACCACTGGGGACACTGTGAAGAGAGGTTAGAACCTGTGAGACACGTGGCCAAACTCTGCCTCCAAGTCTGAGTGAGACAGAACAGGCTGGTCCTCTCCACATTCCTGCTCTGAGCAAAAGCCTCATTCAGCCACCAGCCCTCTGACTTCATGCTGCTCACAGTGTGTTTGGGACTGTGGGATCACAATTCCAGAAACTGTCAGGAAGATGGGGCCTCTGGGTAGCTTAATCTTCTGTATCATCATATTGATGCTGGAGGGAGAACAACTAGGGAGTTCTTGGCTCATGGGGACTAAGAAGGAACTCTCCAGGCTGAGGAAGGCTGACAGCCAAAGGGGGCAGCCTCATGGCTCCTCCAAGACAGAGGAGGCCTAACATTCACCTTCAAGGTCAGTGTTCTGTCCGAGGGCCCACTGTTTTCTCATCTGTGTGTCTTTATCGACTCAGTAACTTTAATAGGACAAGCAACTCAGAATATATAGATCATAAAGGACAGGGAAGGTTTTCCTCAGGTAACAGAGTCAGGGAAACCCAGGAGGATGAGGGCCCTTTCCCAGGGTCAGTACCTGTCCTCTCTGTCAAGTCTGTCCAGGAGTCCAGATTTTGCAATCTTTTACAAATATCTCCTTTCACTCGGTGATTGTAATCCTTCTGTTTCTCCTTATCTTTATCCCAGGACTCCTTTATTTTAATAGCCTGGATCTGGGTCGAGGACGTGGACACCATCCATCTCTGGGTCTTCAGGTCATAGGAGATAGAGGTCTTCCAATCATAGCAGTATTCCCAGAAGGCTATGATGCTGTTTTCTTTGATCTCACAACCCAGCATCTCCTGGAGGGAATGAGAAGCTACCCCCAGCCCAGAAGTGACTTTTCCATTCCCAGGTCCCTCTGCCTCCTCCACCCAAAGTGAGAAACTCCAACCCAAAAGGATTATCCCTTTTCTCCTCCATCTATTTTCAAGAGACAGTTCATATCCTGTCTACATTTCTAGAACATCATCCATATGAAACTCAACAAAATTCAGTGGAAACAGAAAGGTCTCCACCTCTCTGCCCCAGCCCTCCAGGGAAGCCCTCACGTTCCTCCTCCTCCTCCTCCTCCTCCTCCCTATTCTCACCTTTTTTCTGATCCTCCAGCTTCAAAATGTGTGACAGAGTCAGTCTGAGATTCGACCCCATCTCTTTAAACTCTGTAGTCTCTGTGATCTCCCAGTTTCTATTCCTCAGGATGGCTTGTGCCCACTGATCCTGTGGCTTTGCCTGGCCTTTCTCACTGTCGAAGTGCAGGACATGCTCGCCATTCCAATATACCTTAACAATGAATCGCTGTTGCACAAATCCATCCAATGAACCCACTGTGATGTCATAATGAAGACTGCGCAGGCCTGGGAGAGAAAGAAGCCAACAATGAAACTTCACTCTATAAAGAATTTTACATCAAACGTCTAACAGATGTTTATTCTGTCCTGAACTCCTAAGAAAAAGTTGCATTTCATATCTTCCAGAAGATCCCCGCCTCCCTACCTACCAAAATTCATTAAGGAAGGACCAGAGTGTGTCGATAAATGCAGTGCTATCCTGGACTCATCCCAGTGAGATAATCTCTTGACTGTCATTAAATTAGCATCAGAGTTATAGTGGAGAGTATGAATTCAAGGCAGGGAGTCATTTTGGAGTTTGAGCCCCATCAATCTGGCAGAGGGGCCTAAAAGGAAGTATTTTACCAGGTAGTCTATGGGAGAGGAAGTGAGATGAGAAGAGAACAGAGGCACCTCGATATTAGTGTTGGCATTCTTCAAGGCCACCCACTGGAACTTGATGGTTGATAGTGTACCATCAGTCTGTGCCAACTGATTCTCATACTTCTTTTTGGCTTGAGTGCTTGGAGGGCCATGCCCTTGCTTTTGCTGCTGCACTTCTTGGCAGTAGTCAGCTCCTGTTTGATCTTCTCCAGGAACTCCTTCTTGCTTAGCAACTCCTCCGTGTCCTGAAGTCACTGGATGGCCTCCCAGCAGGGTCAGGTCGCCCTTGCTGGCTCTCCAGCCAGAACAGCTCCACCCAGACAGACACCCACAGGGTTGCTGCTCTCAGCGCTGGCTGCACCGCCCTGTCCTGCTTGGCTTCAGGCCTCTCCTTACCACGTGCGGCGCTGTCCCCTACCCCGCTGCTACCTGCCACCTCAGGCCTCTCGCCACCTCCACCCGCAGTGCGGCCCGACCTTGCCACCTCTCACAGGCCAGAAGCTACGCACTTAATCAACCTGTGTTACCAAGGCGTTGACACTATGCTGGAGAAGAGTATTGAATGTACCATGGACTGCCAAGAAAACAAACAGATTCATCCTGGAGAGGGTTAAACCAAGCTACTCCTTGGAGGCAAGGATTCTGGGGCTTCGTCTGACATACTTTGGGCATGTTGCAAGGAGGGACAGGTCCTTGGAGAAGGACATTATGCTTGGGAGGGTGGAGGGACAGCGCAAGAGGGGAAGACCCTCTATGAGGTGGATTGATTCAGTGACTGGGGTAATCGGGATGGGAATGTCAGAGGCAGTGTGATTGGCACAGGACAGAGCAGAGTTTAGGGCTGTTGTACATAGGGTCTCTATGAGTCACAAATGACTTGACGGCACATAACAACAACAACAACCAAGGCTTTGCACCACGCAAGAGTCTGAATCAACTCCATGACAACCAGAATAAATACCCTTGGGTAATAAAAAGGCAGTAAAATGACACAAGGTGTTACGTGAAAGAAGTCAGACAGGAAAGCCCAAATATCCTGTGGCTCTGCTTACATGAAATGTTCAGAAAGGCAAATCACTGGAGACAGCAAGTAGATTAGTGGTTGCTTAAGGTGGTGATGAGAAAGAGGAGTGACTGATGGTTAGCACAAGGTTTATTTTTAGGACACTGTAAATGATCTAAAATTAGATTGTGGTGATTGTTGAACAGTTCCGTAAATTTACTAAAAATCATTGAATTGTGCATTTAAAATGTATGGCGTTTATGGTATGTAAATTACACTCCAATAAATCTGTTAGAAAAGTAAAACACACATAAACACACACACACACACACACACACACACACACAATCCTAGGAATCAAAACAATGTAATACATAATCCTCCCATCGCTCCTGGGGTTCAGGGCCTGATTTGATGGCAGCTCATAACAACAATGAAAATACTCTGGCTTCCTCAAAACAAATTGTTCTTTAGTTTTAAAAAATTCATCACAAGCAAGCAAACATGAATTGTAACAAAAGAACTTTCAGCTGAAATGGTTATGGATGTTATATGTTCTTCATCTTTACAGATATGAAGCATATTTCATGTCTGAGCTTCACATATCTGCTTAATGACACAATGAATATTCTGGAAAAGAGTCTAGCAAATAAGGAGAGAAAACATATAAAGTGAGGTAATACCTTTTGTAAGAAACATAAACATAAACACAGGCTATACACATGGATCTCACCTGATGGTATGCATAGGAATCATATCGATTACATTTGTGGAAGGACTCCCTGGAGCAGCTCAGTATCAGCTGTGAAAACTATGCCAGGTGCTGACTGTGGGACAGACCACCAACTACTCATATGCAAGTTCAAGCTGAAGTTGAAGAAAATTAGATCAAATCCATGGGAACCAAAATTTGAACTTAAGTCTGTCCCACTCAAATTTCAAAAGCATCTCAGGAACAGGTTTGAGGCCTTGAGCACCAATGAATGTAGACCAAATGAGCTCTAGGAGGATATCAAGAATGAATGGAAATCCCAAATCTCTGTAAATGTTCATTAATATTAATAAAATCTTTTTTTAAAAAAAGAAAATCATCCATGAAGAATGCAAAAGATCATTACAAAGGCTGAAGAAGAAGAAAAGACCAAGATGGATGTCAGATGAGACTCTGAATATTACATTAGAGCACCAAGAAGCCAAAGCTAAAGGAAGAAACCAAGAAATCAAAGAGCTGAACAGAAAATTTCAAAAGGCAGCTCGGGATGACAAAGCAAGATACTATACTGAAATGTGCAGAGAGCTGGAGTGAGAAAATCAAAAGGACCAAACTTGCTCAGCGTTTCTTAAGCTGAATGAGTTGAAAAACAAATTCAAGCCACAGGTGTCAATACTTAAGGGTGCTATGGGTAGAATGTTAAATGATCCAGGAAGCATTAGGAGAAGATGAAAGGAGTACTCAGAGTCACTGCATCAGAAGGAATCGGCTGACATAGAAGAATTTCATGAAATAACACATGAGCAAGAGCCTGTAGCGATGAAGGAGGAAGTTCAAGTTGCTCTGAAGGAATTGGCACAAAACAAGACTCCAGAAGTTGATGGCATACCAATTGACATATTTCAACAAACAGACGCTGTCCTGCATGTTCTCACTAAGCTGTGCCAAGAGGTCGTGGTCCTAGGGATATTATACCTAATGCTAGATGGATCTTGGTAGAAAGCAGAGAATACCAGAAGAATGCCTATCTGTGCTTCATTGACTATGCAAAGGCTTTTGACTGTGTGGATTACAATAAGCTATGGCTGACTCTGAGAAGAATGGGAATCCCAGAACATTTGATTGTGTTTATGTGAAATCTATACTTGGACGAAGAGGCAATCGTCAGAACAGAGCAAGGAGACACTACATGGTTCAAGAAAGGGGTCCATCAGGGATTATTTTTTGTCTCCATACCTTTTCAATCTGTATGCAGAACAGATCATCTGAGACACTGAGCTGTATGAGGAGGAATGTGGCATCAGGATTAGTAGAAGAGTCATCAACCTGCGTTAAGCAGATTACACAACCCTGCTTGCTGAAACTGAGGAGGACCTGAAGCACTTGCTGCAGAAGGTCAGGGACGGCAGTCTTCAACATGGATTGAAGCTCAACATCAAGAAAACAAAGATTCTCACCACTGGGCCAATTGGCAGCATCAGTATGGATGGTAAAGAGATTTAAAGAATTAACAGTTTTAGTTTACTTAGCTCCACAGTCAACACTCTTGATAACAGCAGCCAGGAAATCAAGAGACAAATTACATTGGGAAAGTGAGCTGTGGGGGACCTCTCAAGAGTACTGAAGAGTAACAACATCAGGCTGGAGACTAAGGTGTGCCTGATCTAGGCTATAGTCTTCGCAGTTATGTGCTATGCATCAGAGAGTTGGACAGTGACTACGGATGGTAGAAAGAGAATTAATGCCTTTGAGCTGTGGTGCTGGAGAAGAGTGTTGAATATACCATGGAGTGCTAGGAGAGCAAACAGGTTTGTCCTGGAGAAGGTGAGGCTGGAATGTCAAGGCTTCTGAAACTTCGTCTGACATATTTTGGGCATGTTGCAAGGAGGGATTGGTCCTTGGAGAGGGACATCAAGATTGGGAGAGTGGAGGGACAGCACAGGAAAGGAAGACCCTCGATGAGATGGATCTATTCTGTGATTATGGTAGTGGGAATGAGTGTGTCTGAGATGGCGAGGTTGGCACAGGATAGAGCAGCATTTAGGGCTCTTGTACATAGGGTTGCTATGAGTTGCAAGCAACTAAATGGCACATAACAACAACAAACAATGTTTATAGTTAATGACTTGGGTTACAATAATTTGAAGTTCATGATATTAATCTTGCTAATTTTGTTAGGGTAAAATGTTCAAATTACTACACACTATTTTTAGTTCAGGGTGGAGGCCAGTCTTGGCCCATGAACTGAGTGTCAAAAGTGTGCTATATTAATACATTGCCACAAATGATGGCAAAATGTGTTCCTAAGCATGGTCGTCAATTTAAAAGTGTGCGGCAACGTGTTAACTGACAGGATTTTGCTAACACAAGGAGAGTTCATCTCTATAACTGCAATTTGATAGTACTTGCTGCTACATATGTTAAAAAGTAAAAATGTTCAAAGTAAAGAGAGACACAGTGATATAGGACTTAAGAGGAGAAAAGATAAGAATTTGAGCTGTCAATCCCACCTGCTTTTCATTGTTGTTATTTGCCCTAGAGTTGCCTGTGACACTTAGAAACCCTATGCACTGTCTCACTGTCTCTGACACACCTATTCCCATTATCCCAGTCACTGTGTCAATCCATCTCATCCAGGGTCTTCCTCTCCTATGCTGTCCCTCCATTCTTCCAAGCATGATGTCCTTCTCCAAGAATTGGTCCTTCCTGGACACAGGCCCAAAGTATGTGATACAGAGCTTCAAAATTCTTGCCTCCAAGCAAGTAATAAATGTTGGCGAGGATGTGATGTTGGCGAGGATGTGGTGAGATAGGAGCTCTTACACATTGTTGGAGGGATTGTAAAATGGTACAACCGCTCTGGAAGGCAGTTTAGAATTTCCTCAAAAAGCTGAACATAGCAATTCCATATGACCCAACTATTCCACTGCTTGGCAAATACCCTGAGAAAATTAGAACTGAGGCACAAACAGAGACCTGTACACCAATGTTTATAGCAGCATTATTCACTATAGCAAGAACATGGAAACAGCCTAAATGCCCGGCCACAAGGAACTAGATTGAGAACCAGTGATACATTCACGCAATAGAATACTATGTGGCATGCTGGAACAATGATTTTGTAAATCACTACCTAATATGGGAAGGACTGGAGAGCATTATGCTAAGTGAACTAACTCAATCTCATAAGGACAAATACTATATAAAATCATTATTGTAGAATGAGTATGAGGATCCACAGAAGGGAGGTGCTGGCTTAATCATAGGGTCACACAATTTGACCAGTGAAGGGAAGGATAGGTATACAAAAGAAGAAAGATATCATGTGAAAAACAATGTATACAAACTTTATGAACTTTGTATGTAAACCAATATAAAAGAATTTTTTTATTTTTTTTATTAATTTTAATG